CCCCGGGGGGCCCCCGGGGGGCCCCCAACACCCCGAAAGCTTCCGACTGGTCTTCAGCTTCGCGGAAAACCCTTATTTCAAACCCTTGGAACTCTGGAAAGGGTACGAAATGGGGGTGGGCCCCGGGGGCCGCGGGGCGGAGCTGCTGCGCAGCAGCAGCAGCAAAATAGAGTGGGCCCCCGAAAGAAATGTGACAAAAAAAGTAATAATTAGAAAACAAAGAAACAAAAAAACAAAAGAGACAAGAACTGTGACGGAGACAGTGGAGACAAACTCCTTCTTCAACCTTTTCGTCGACCACGAGATCCCGCCCGACCACAAGCTCGAACTCATGGACGAGAAAGAGGCAAACCCTAAACCCTAAACCCTAAACCCTCGCGGGCGGCCGGGGGGCGGGAGACGCCGTAGGGCCTAGGGTTTAGGGTTTAGGGTTTAGCGCTGGGGTTTGGGGTTTCCGCGCAGGTGGAGGAGCTGCAGCTGGTTGTCGAGGCCGACTACGATATCGGGATTAGGATTCGAGTGCGCGCCCAAACCCTAAACCCTAATTCCTAAACCCTAAACCCTAATTCCTAAACCCTAATGCGTAAACCCTAAACCCTAATTGGGAGGGCTGACGGGTCCTCGAGGGCCCGTCGTGTTAGTCCCCTGTTGCTTTGCGGCGGGCCTAGACGAAGCCTTTGCCAAAACCCTAAACCCTTTTTTAGGGTTTGCGCAGGACAAGATCATCCCCCGCGCCGTGGACTGGTTTTTGGGCCAAGTCGATGACGACTCCGACTTTGAAGACTATGACACCAACGAGGAGGAATTGTCCGCGAGGGTTTAGGGTTTAGGGTTTAGGGTTTGGGGCTTGTTGGCAGCTGGGGTCTAGGGTTTGGGGGTTGCTTACAGCTAGGGTTCAGGGTTTTTCATCATGAGGCTTTAGGGTTTTTAGGAGCTAGGGTTTAGGGTTTGTGCTTTGCTTCCAGCTAGGGTTTAGGGTTTAGGGCACCTTGGTCGTAGACCTCTGGGATTGTGTTCATCTCCCACCGAGGGTTTAGGGTTTAGGGTTTAGAGTTTTTGCGCAGCCTAGGGTTTAGGGTTTAGGGTTTAGGGTTTAGGGTTTAGGGTTTGTGCGCAGCGACACGGAAGACTCGGATGAAGAAGATGACTCTTCAGATGAGGACCTGCCTCGATCTCACAAAGGTGCGGAGAAGGTATCAAGACACGAGGGTTTAGGGTTTAGGGTTTAGGGTTTCACTGGGCCTCTCGCGGCGCGCTGCGCCG